AGACAAAAAAAACCCCTCAAAAAAAAAAAAAAAAAAAAAAAAAAAAAGACTCATAATACACCAGCCATCAATTAGGTTTTCTGGATCATTCAGAAAAGGAAGCTCAACTGTACAAGATCAAGATTTTCTTTCTCTAAACATTCATGATACCACATGCCACTTAATATTCAAATGGCTAGGGTTTTTTGTATGTTTGTTTGTTTTTTAGAGATTTTTGCTCTAGGGTGCGTGCATGCACCAAGAGACAGAGAGACAGAAAGTGAGATATCGCCTCACAGAGGAGATGGCCATGCCACAATCCCTTCTCCTCCAGTCTCCTCTCGGGATTTTGGGCACACATGCACACGTGCCCGGCTTGTTTTAAGCAACCAGGTCTGGGACTCAAACTACAGTTGACTACGTGGGAGTTCAGTGACGTAACCATTCCACCATCTGCTGGTCCCTCAAGTGGCTCTTCTAAATGAAGGCTAATAAAGATATATTTAAATTGATAGGCAGAGATCTATGGAAGGTAAATATGAAAATACACTTTCATAAGCAATAATTGACGGTTGGTATTATTTTGGCATTTTAAATGTGTCTGAAAAATGCTATCTTTTTGCAAGCGAGCTGGCTGCTGGCTCTTTCCTGTCAGGAAGTTTTATTTTTAGGCTGTCTTTTCCTTTACTATAAAAGGAAATTCTCTTCTGAATCTATACTTTCTCCAAAGCCACTATCTGAGGGCACACTGCATGCCCTTGGCAACTCATTGTGCGCTTATAACCACTTACAAGAAGTCAGTTCAGAGGGGACAACCTAAAATGTCCATTGAGCATCAACATCCCTCAATGAAAACTGATGACTACATGAGCGACGTTCAGAACTTTTCCAGAGTAGAAACTCCAGTATTTCTTGATTAGTGGGCTACCTCGAGAAACATGTATTATCCTCTAAGGCTGATGAAATGGAATACAAATCCCACCATGTATCTAGAGGAAAGAAGGGGTTGAAATCATGGATCTTAGCACCATCCTAGCATCCTAACCAAAATGGGACTAAAGAGCCATCTTAATCTCTCTGAAATAAGATACCTACACGCATATAAAGTCCATGTTCCTGGAAGCTCAAGGAAAAGCTAAAACCAGGCCATTTTGGCAAATGACCTCCCTTCCTTCCCAATCAGAAATCATTTTCCCAGGAGTCTGAGGGGGTAGTTCTATCTCTACATATGTCAAAAATAAAAACCAAGTTTTATATAGCATTACTTACATGTTACATAACAACGAGCCATGAATCCTTCAGAGGTACACAAAGCTGCATATATTGGTTGCCAGAAAAGTCATGATATATTTTTCTGGCTCTTTATGTAAAAATGTATAATGACTTTTCTGATGACCCTATATTTTAATTGTTTCCAATATTTTCCATTAAAAAAAAAAATCCATTCCTACTGTCTACTTCCATTTCCTACTTTCGGGAAATCTTAACATTTTCCCCTGACAAGATTCGATTCTCTTGAATACACTATTCTAATTATTAAGACCTGACACCAGCATTGTTAGATGAGACTTACCATGTGCACAGTATATGGGGAACATTTGAGAAGTTAGAAATATTCAAATCTGTATGGGAAGGTTGACCATAATGAACAACCTGTGAATGGTTTTGTTTTCTTATAAAACTCAAAACTATTTTGCATTCAAAGTCATGTTTCCAAAACTCTTGGAACCCTAATCTAGATTTTCCAGATGAGGGCCCAAATCCGGCAGCTCCATCCCATGTCCCTTCCATGGCAGGCTGGCGGTAGATGGGATCTCATCTCCTACTAAAGGGCAGATGACTGCCACTCCTGTTCCAAATCTCAAAGACGACCACACTCGCTGGGTGGACAGGCTCTAAAGCTGAAGAAGAGGCACCTGCATTCCGAGATGAAGAAACAGATGAGAAGATCAGAGGTCAGAACGTGTTCTCAGCTCTGAAGTCAAATGCAGTGAGCCTGAGGGTGGGGCACGGCCAAGGTGCACGGTGCGGTCTGAGAGAGGTTCACTCTAAAAAGCTGCCTCTAGGAGTGTCTCAGGGTCGCGTGTGAACAGGGATTTGTTGAATATGCTTTCTTTCTGATCTTAACAACAATTAGTTCAACACAGAACCTCTATGGCTGTTGAACGCTGTACGGAGAAGGGGCATGAGCTGCCTTCTGCTCCCCTCCTTCCTAATCACAGCTCAGGGCCTGCCCTAACTAGTGAGGTGCCCGACTGGATTGAGGTGGTGGTCTTACACTGCATCTGGGCAGAAAATAACGCTTTATCTTTGCAAAAGCCGGGTGTCACGAAATACTCTCTTGAAGGCCTTGGGAGGAAGCCTTCTCCACTGACACTTCAACACACCAGTTCTTTTGGCCCTCCAGAGACAGTCGGCTGTGCCTTATTCCAGGTGTGTCCTACACTGGATAAGCTCACAGCCAGGGCTACTGAACCAAGCCTTGGCTTGCAAAGCGAGGAGGTGGGGTCTAGGGTTCCTTCAGATAATGTCCCAGAAACTACTAGCAGAAGCTTGTTAGTAAGACTGTAAATTCTTCAATGGCAGGACTGTGTGTTACAATATCGGAGCACCAGAGCACCCACCTTTAGAGATCCCATGAGGCCCCCAGCACCACTGTAAGGGACTAGGCTCTGGTTCCCATCTCAGCTCACTGGAGCATGTGGCAGAGCATCCCTAACCGGAGCTGTGGAGAGGGGTGGGGGATCACGGCCTGAGAGGACCCTGTCTGAAGTCTATCTCTCAAAAAATAAAAATAAAACTTTAAAGTAAAAAGAAGAAATTCCATGAGTTATCTTTCTAAACCCTCTGTTCTACACAGGTAATTACTATCAGTACCAAACCAGGACACACACACACACACACACACACACACACACACACACACACACAGAAATCACGAGGAAATCAAACCTGCCTTGTGCAATATAGTTTGTCAAAAGGCAAAAGCGATATGCATTTTTAAACACTTCATTTTTAAACATTTAAGTCAACCAGGAACCCTAAAGAAAACGTGCCTACTTCTATCCAAGCGGGGTCATCAACAGCGCCTTCCCTATCTGTTCTGGCAAACAGGCCAGTGTGTCCCTAGGGCACGGGCTGCTACGACAGCCCCTGGGCTCGCCGACGTTTGCCTAAGCGCCCTGCAAGCGTGGCACCTGCCACAGCTTGGCTTACCTGGGTCGCTTCGAGGCTAGTTCCGGGGCTGCTTAAATGCAGGGAGGGGAAGAGAAGGGCCCCTGCACTGCAACCAAGTGCCAGTGTCCATGTGGCAGTGTGGTCTGGTGCAGAGTGAACGGGGCAAAAGGGCGCTTAAGGGGGACGGGGGCACCAGACCAGGCACCTCGCGGGGTCCCTGCCCCAGCGCTCGGCTCGCACTCACCAAGAAGCCCACCAGGTACAGGCAGAGCAGGAAGCGGCGGGCTCCGGCGGCACTGGGGCCGGCAGCGCCCGCCACCGCCCGGGTTCCCGGCTCCTGCCCGGGCTCCGGGGTCGCCAAGGCCTTCCCGGGTGCCCGGCGCAACCCCCGGCGACCCTTGAACTCCATGGGCGCAGGCTGGGGGACTGACGCCGCTGGGTCTGCGGGGACAACCCCCAGCGCCCCAGGCCCGCCCCCGGCGGAAGCGGGCGGTGTGCGCCTGCGCAGAGGAGCGCCGCCGGGGAGCTGCTCGGCGGCTGCGGGGTGAGGTCTGCTCCCCGCGGGGCTCTTAGCTTACTCCCAGTACAGGCTTGAGAGAGGCTGGGGGGCCCGAGCGGTAAGCACGCTGGGACGCCAGAGCGTTAAGCACGCGACAGGTTTGTGATGATAGTGATGATGCTCTTTGTTTCCTTAGGGTAAGCGCGCGGTGCCTGTCGTTGCAGGGCAGGAGGGATCTGTGATGACCTTCACCTCCTGGTGGGGAGTCATCCTGGCGGTGGCCAGTTCTAGACTGAAGAGCCACAGTCCCTGGCCATTAGCTGTGGTAGACCTGGAAGAAGTTCATGTGGTTCTCCAAGCTTGGTTTGTCTATTGGAAAAGCGGGGAAATAAGGTAGGCCAGCTTGTCGAGTTGTGAGACTCCTGCACCTGCTTGTTGACAACTTTCTCTGGTGCTGTGTGGTGCGTACAAGACGGAGACTGTCCCTGCGGACCCCTGGAGTAACAATAAGCGCACAGTAAATAAGCATGGTGAGTAAAACATGACAACGAGGAAAAAGAAACACACAATAAAGGTCAGCTGTTCATGCAGTGTACCACCGCTGGTTATGCAGATGCCGAGCCCACGTGGGGAGGTCCCAAGTTCACAGCCAGAGACCTCCCTGTACACACTGGTTGCACATGTGCTGTCCATCCAGGGTGGATTACAGTGTGAAACGCTGTTGGGTCTGCTGTCTCTCTTTCATGGAAGAAGTAAATAAATGAACCTAAAAAAACCCCACAATACTTAGAATAGTATCCTGACAGATGACATGAAGCACAGTCTTGAAGTGGAAACCAATGAGGTAGGGAGTGAACTACTTTTCGAAGGCAGTTTGGAGGAAGTGATATTTAAGCTGAGATGAGTTTAAAGAAGATGTCTGTGGTGCAAACGTTTTGAACAAACTGAAAGGCCAGAGAGCGGGCAGAGGTGCAAATCACTCAGGACCTAAAAGGTCATGGCAGAGGCGCTGAGTTTTATTCTGAATGCACTATGGGTGCTTGACACCATGTAATGTGTATAAATCACTTAGCACTGTGCCTGACACATGATAGGTGCTTAATAAATGTTGACTGTGATTACTAGCCCTTCTCTTCTTCAGGAACTTCTTTCATCATGTATGCCTCTCTCATTCTGCTATTAAGAAAAGTCTGAGATTATGCTTGAAGTCTCAATTTGATTGTACAGGTTGCCAAATTCTGACATCATTGAATTCAATCTTGCAAAGTTTCTCGTGTGAAAACTAGGGCACAGTCTAGGAAGGAGTGAGATATAGAGACTTAGAATAGAGATGTGATTGACTGCAGATGAAACTGACAGCCTTGAACCCCTACTCACTCTGAGCTTCCTTTGCCAGTAGAACTAGGTTTCCTTCCTGTAGCTGAAAATACCAGCTCCTGTGCTCAAAATTTTGTGATTAACTCATCTGCAATAGCTGCCTTGAAGGGGGATGTGCATACTTTTCAAGAGCCATGAAAACCACCCACTACACACATAGTGTAAAATCTAGCATGCTCTAGGGCACAGGTGCACACTATGACCTATGGAAATTGCTATGTGCCAAGGGACTTGAAAGACTCTCCTAACATATAATCAGAGAAAACATTAACAACATAAGGAGCAGAGTTTCAAAGCATGTTCCATCAAGGAGGAAAAAAAATACAACTTTAAATTATGCAGAATTCATGGATATGGGTGCATTTGCTAAAGATTTCAAATGTAATCTGATTGCTTGTACAGCTGGAGAAGGCTCTAATAGTTTATTTGATTGCTTGGCTGAATCTTGAACTCAAAGGTGGCCTGCATTTATGAAGTTTAGATGGCAGTTTTTCTGCCATAATGTGGAGACGGGAATCCAAAGCCTTGGGGAAATAAGAATGATACAGTAGATTTACCATATATAAACCTGCAAGCCCAACCCCCAATTACATTCTATAAGAATGTCCAGAAGACATCCCCTTCACTAAATCATTGAAGAAGGTGTTAGTAGAAGATGCGCTTGCAGTCTTGAAAAGATTGGTGATTGCTTTCTTTGGTAGGCTATGTCTAACCATGGGGGATACGAGCTCCCTGATTAAAATGAGGACTAGATTCTCAGATTATCAGAGACCAGATGACAGCATTTAAATCCCAAAGACAAAGTGGTCACATTTACTGTAAAGTGCAGCAAGACGTACAGTAATTTGGATGTTATCCCTTCAGGCTAAGCCTTTGACTATGGCTAAAGGACTATGCTATCCCAGGAATAAAGTGGAAAGAAAGGCTACTAGAGTATTGCTTAAGTTACAGAGAAAAAGAAAACAAAGCCTTACACTTTAGATCTGGTACCTAATACTCCAACTTGATTTGCTATAAATGAAGAGAATCACAGCTTCTTACCCAGTTATTCACCTAAGTAGATTCACAAACACGACCTTTTCATTGAAAGGGAGCCCAGATGATCTTGAGGAAGAATTTTGTAGCTTTCACTTGAATATATACCGTAAACCTTCCTTTTTGTTTCCCCTTAGGGACCCTGCAGTCATTTACTAGAGTGACTATGTATTGTACAAAAGGAAATACTCAGATCTCTGGGAAGTATTAGACCGCGGCTCAATAAATTGACACTAATTCTTTCTTTTTTGGGGGGTGGGGGGAGAGGTTTTTTTGCTATAGGGCACATGCACTCACCAGACAGACAGAGAGAGACAGAGAGACAGAAAGTGAGAAATCACACCCCAGGGGGGATGGTCACACCGCAATCCCTTCTCCTCCATTCTCCTCTCAGGATCTTGGGCATGCACGCACATGCGCCCGGCATGAGTTTTAAGCCACCAGGTCCAGGACACGAACCGCGGTCAACTACATGGGAGTCCAGTGACATAGCCATTACGCTAATTGCTGGTTCCCAACACTAATTCTTGGGGACTCAAAATACCACTGTGTGTCTCCAATCAAATAGCTTTATTGGAGTTCCCAAGACCAGCTTCAGATTCAATGAGTCATGAAAACTCACTTTATTCAGCATATAGTTTTACTTGTGGCTTAGACATATTACAGAAAAAAAAGATAAAAAGCCACATCAGTGCAGTGACTTGCTTGGGACAGTCTGAAAGAAAACAGGCACAAGATTCCAAGAATCTTTACCCAGTGGAGTCACATAGGCTATGTTTAATTCCCCCAGCAATGTGTTCTAACAGTATGTGTGAAGTACTGTCTACCAGAGATGCTCACTAGGAGCTTAGTGCCCAGGGTCTTGACTGTGGGCTGGTTATATCACTTCCTCCTCTCTACCTACCACCTTTTAAAACTCCAGTCTCCCTAATGAAAACAAAGTTTATCTTTGTATAAATTATGTTGTTTATGCAGTATAGGCACAGTGAGGTATTCTTACAAGGTAGCATGGTGAGGGTCTTCCCAAAATCTGAGCTCCCAGATGCTAGCCAAGGCACAAGGTTTTTAGCAGTGATTTCAAAGAGTAGCAGTAAGGCCAGCTATATTAACTCTTCTGCACAGGAGCTTAGGGTAATCAGGTAATATTAGGTGGTTGGGAAAATCATGACATATTTTTCTATGCAAAAATAAGTCAGTCATGTCTTTCTGAATGACCCAATAGAATCTTAGTTCAAGTCCGAGTCACAGTAGACTGGTTCTCAGTTAATCAATGACTTTTCTTAGTTCTTAAGTATGTGGTTGGAACAGTTCGCTTGATCAATGTCAGTATCCACACATTAACTGTCTGACCCAGGAGCAAACTTAATTATGGTACAAAAGGCTAAGTTGAAACTTCTAAAACTTCCTTACCAATATAGTAAAACAGAAACAATATTTCATTCCTGATGGTATTAAAGAGATTAATGACACCATCAAAGGCTTAAAGGAAGCAAAACTAATCATACCTATCACATCTCGTTGAACTCACATTTGGCCTATGAAGAAGTCAGGTATATTGTGGAGAGTAACAGTGCACTATAATATAGGAAGGAAGAGATTTTAATCACAGCTGGTGTCTCAGATGTACCTTCCCTGGAATAAACCAACATGGGTCCTAGTACTTGGTATGCAGCTACTGCCTGGCTAATTTTTTTCCCCCATACCAATTTGTAAGGAAAAATTCAAAAAAGAAATTTGCTTTTACTTCACAATACCACCTGCATGCATTCACACTTTTGCCTCAGGGGTATCTCAGGTTTTCTGCGTCTTTCCATAATAATGTAGTCCACACACATCTTTTTTTTTTTTTTTTGAGAGAGATTTTTTTTTTGCTATAGGGAACATGTGCTTACCAGAAAGACAGAGAGAGAGAGAGACAGACAATGAGAAGTCACCTCCTCAGGGGGGAATAGCCACACCACAATCCCTGCTCCTTTATTCTCCTCTTGGGATCTTGGGCATGCATGCACATGCACCCGGCATAAGTTTAAACCACCGAGTCTGGGACTCAAACCACTATATGGGAGTCCAGCAACATAGCCATTACACCAACTGCGGGTCCCTAGTCCACACACATCTTGATCATCTTGACATTTCACAAAACATCTGACATGCTCACTACATCTACAACATTATATTGATTGGATCTGATATTCAGGAAGTAGCAAGTGCCATAAGGACTCTGGTAAGACACATGCCAAATAAAGAATGGTAGCTAGACCCCATACATTTTCTGGATTTCCTACATTGAAGCTTCTGCAGATTCTGTGGTATCTCCCACAAGGAAGTACCTCACTGCATTTCTCACCACCTACCATAAAATAAGAGGCATAACACTTGGCAGGCATTTGGGGTGTTAGAGACAACATATATCACAACTAGAATATTGCCTGTAAGTCCGCCAATTTCAAGTGAGAAATGAAAGTGAGGGAAAGGTCTGTACCAAATCCAGATGACAGTATAGTATGCTCAACTAATCAGGCCTTATGATTCAGCTTATGATTGCAATGATACTTGCAATACCCATGGCAAATAGCGATGCTGTCTGGTGCCTTTAACAAGCCCCAGTAAAATCACAGCACACAGATATCTAAGATACTGGAACAAGTATGTATTCTTCTCAACAGATATCTATTATACCTTTGATGCTTCTAGCTTGCTCCTAGGGCTTGTTGGAGACTACCAAACTATGAAACAAGAGGTAGCCATGTAGCAGGAGTAACCCATCATTAACTGGCTGTTTGCTGACTCACTGTGTTAGTTTTCTGTAGCTGCTGTAATAAATTACCATGAACTTGATGGTTGAAAACAACAGAAATTTAGTCTCTCACGTTATTGGCAGCCAGGAGTTTTAAATAAATACCACTGAATCAGAATCAAGGTATCAGTTGGTCTGTGCTCTTCTCCAGGCCTTTGGGAAGAACCCATTTCTTGCTTTTCCAGTTTCTTCTGGTGATAGTATTCCTTGGATTGAAGTTTCATCACTCCAATGGGTGTGTTCCAAATCCCCAGGTTTGCCTTTGGAGCCTAAGGCCCTCCAGCCTACATCCTTGTGCCTCTTCATCAGTCACATCTTTGT